TTAAAAAATACAAGCTATATGTTACATAAAAATTGTTAATATCTGTGGGGCTGTTCCCAGTGGAAGGTGCTATTTATGTCTGATCAAAAATAACAAAACAAAACAACAGAATAAATTTATAAATATTTCCATTATTCAACTTTAATCCACATAAACTTAAAAAATGTATGTATTGAATATTAACTGACTATTTAAAACTAATAAAATTAAAATAACAATTCATATTATACATAGCCCCCCCCCCCCCACTAACTTTTATGTTAAACAATGTGGTGACTAAGGGGATGTTTGTTCTGATTTTCCTCCCACTCACCCTCCCACTCATTCTCACTCTAAACCTACAAATGTGCTCATCCAGTATCATCCTTGTATTCGTTGTTGCGGCATCCATCACTAATGTGCATGCTTCATCCAAAATCCCTTTCAAATGCGGGACCGTCTTGCACAATGCGAGATGGTTGGTAACTATGTTATTATTGTTACAAATTTAACCTAAGACCTTCTGGTTATCTATCATTCTGATGATCTATCAACTATTCTAGTAGGCTGAAGTAGTAGTGTACACCCTTAAAATATCCCATTTTTTTCCCAAGTTATTACATAATTATGCTATAAATAATAGATAAATCACATATATTATTGTCTTAATATATTACTGATGGAGGTGGCTCATCATTACAAACTACAATGTGATATATGTTGTTCTACCACTAAGGCTAGCCCTACAGCAATGTTACATAACTGAACCAACTTAAAAACTATTGGTGACAGATCTTTCACATTAATTGTAGCTAATAGTCAATGGAACTCTCTACCATTACATCTTAAGCAATCTTCTAAAATATTCACTTTCAAAGCTAACATTATTTTTTAAAGAAACATAACTTTCAGTCAAACGCATATTTTATTTTAACATTGTTTTATAATATGCGCTATATATTATTATTATTTTATTATTATTAATATTATTACTATTATTACGGTATATTACTACTATTATTATTAATAATCATTATTAATTTAGGATTTCAAATGTAAAAGCATAATTATGTCTTGTTTCTCTATACCCTTTATTTTATCTGGGCTATTGCTTCGGTATTAATACCATCTTGTACTGATTGTGACTCGATAAATTAATTACTTGAAATGAAATGAATTAAAATTCTAGTTAATTTAATTAAATTAGTATTCAGTAAAAATTCTATTGCTATTAATACTATTTGTTAAGGATACTAGAAAATATAAATAAAAAAATTAATAACACAGTAGGACTCAGATAATCATCACATGATTGAAAGACAACTACTGTATATGCTTATATATGAATTACTGATTCACTCTAGAAAATCTCAGTTTTCAGCTTACTTAAACACAGGCATACACGCTGCCATACAATGAATACCAAATGACACGTAGGCCATCCACACGTAGGCTAATCTACACGTAAGCCATGTCACGTCTGAAACAGTCTGCACATTTTAAGATCTCTTATTTCCTGGCCTCAGCATACTATACGGTATTACATTATTATCTTACAGATAACATTAAGTGGTTGATATTTTCAAATCGTATTAATAAACACTTAAAAATATTTATGGTAGATGTTATTACCATCTAAATTATATTGTATTTACTATTGATTCTTATTCTAATTCTTTATTCACCAAAAAAAAGCAAAGTACAATACAATCGTGGTACACATATACAGAAAACAAATACAATAAATTGAATGAGTGGGCAGAAGGTTGATAATCGTTAACTTTAAGCCATCAAAGACAACAAAGACACCTCTTCTTTTAATAAAATGTAAATTAATTGGGGTAATTGATAAGTAATAATTAATCCAGAAAGCTTAACTTGTAAATGCGATCTGCCTGTAGTCTTCGGTGACATAGCATTTTACATACTCCTTGACTCAACACGATAAACTGTTGGAAGCTGCTTGGTAATATATTAAAACTAATTTCCTAACTACCCATTAAATCAAAATCTAATAAAATTATATTAACAGGAAAGGTAAACTATTAATTTTAACTGGAAACCATACATTTTAATTTTTAAACATCCTTGCAATTTAATGGAGTTATTCCCTTGATTTCAAACTATGTATATTTAGCAAATTAAACTTTTTAGTTCACAAAGTTTAGACTTCTTTAAGCAAAGCTAATTTCAATACTAGTTCAGCTGTAGTTAAGGCTTAGTTTATGGCCTTCCTAGTGACATTTTAGTTATACTTTCTTTTACTGTTAAACAGATAACTGCATTTTATTTATTTTTTTTGGCTTCCTTTTGTCTCGGCAGCTCTATCTTGGTTATCATATCTTTAAAGTTGACGTAAGTCTAAAAAGTCTGGAAATGATATAAAAAATACTTCTGAATTTTTTCAAGTTATACTCATGAAGATTTCAATATTTCAAAATCCCTTTCAAATTTAATAATCTTTTTATTTGTATAAATTAATAATTAACAGATTATTTACACATACATTCATTTAGCTCATTTTTAAATTAAACTTTATGATTTAAGGTTGGTCTCTATGTATACATTGTGTCTTTAACATTTTTTTTTATCTTTGTCAATTTAATGTTGGAGATATGTCCTAGTCTCACCCTTTAACATGACTATTAGATAAGCTTATCTTCATAGGGTGGAAGTGGTTGGCGCATCAGTTGTGGCTTGGACTCCCAACCTTGAGGTTAGGGGTTCGGAACTCTCGCTGTGCAAGTCGCTTGTGTCCTTAGGCAAGGCACTTTATCTACATTTGTCTCTCTCTACCCAGGAGTATAAATGGGTACCCAGTGGTTTACTACTGGGGAAGAAAAAAGGCGGCATGGAAAGGAACTGGCCACCCTACCACACAATACCGAGGCTTAGTACAATGGGCTTACAGCTCATTCCCCTACGTTCAGTAATGAACACGGGACTACCTTTACCTATCTTCATATGACTACTACGGGTGGATACCGTGTTTAAAGCAAGAAATCAAGTTGTCTTTACCAAGTAACGCTTGTTCATATTATTCATAAAATTTAACTACTGTATGTTCTTGTCAACATTGGTGGTATGCTAGCTACTTTCATAACACTATGTTTTTGTTGTAATGAACATTTTCTGTTTCAACACAAACTCATACATATTTTTACAGCCCTACAACTGAACTTTACAATAACCATAATATTGTTTTAATTATGGTTATCAATATTATTGCTAATAATAGCATTGCTAGTACGTTTCTATCTTATTATTAGTGTGTGGATACTATGTAGTGAAGCTTACAAGAGGGCTTTCCCCTTTTAACACAGACTCGAACAAATATGAATCATTTGAAAATCAAAAAGTTCATCACCCTTAAAGCTGTTACAATTATAGATCATAATAAATTAACATTCCTCATGGCCTCAAGCATGAAGGGGGAGGCTCGGTTAATAGCACAGCTGCAAAGGCACCACAAACCTAAAGGCCTTGTGACATTACATTAGATTAGCAAACTCCCTCTTTCATATGTTCGAACCTATGATCTGATTTCCTGAACCCTGTTTTTCATCTAATTAACACTACAAATATACAATGAAAGAAATACAAAGACTTTAAACAAGAGAGGAAGGAGGCCTAACAGAGGAACAAGTTCCTGTGACCAAAAGGTCGGAACTTATTAATAGACAATTAGTAGTCGAGGGTCATGTGATAGAGATGTATGTTTGTTTAAAAACCTCCTGAATCTTTAATAATATTAATGATAATAAATTGCTAATATTTATTAATAATAGTAGTAATAATAATATTAATAAATCTATAATCATTTTTTATGAGGATGACCCTTAGATCTTATCCTAGAAGTTTGGTTGATATCCAAGGCCTCTTAAAAAATTGAATAAGTTTACGCTTATAAACTAAGTCTCTTTAGGAGGTTTAAGGAGTGGAAATGTGCTTTAGTAGCAAGAAAAATTCCTGGAATTGAACCCGATAATAATTCTATCACCGATAAGTTTGGCATAAGATAGTATGAAACCAACGTGACCCAAAAATAAATAAATAAATTGAATAAATTGTGTACACAATTCTATTTGGTGTACTAATTGTTATAATTTATATGCATTAAAAAAGAAATTATTATATTGTCCTACAAAACCAACTTCAAGGAAGTATTTATTAGCCTATTGATACTTCCTACTTTGCATTAATTACTAATTAAGGAAAAGTGAAAAATAAAAGTTTCTTATACAGAAAATTTCTATTCCACAGACAATTTGCATTCGAACCCAAGACCTTCTGAATATAGTTTGGTTGTCCTACCAGCTGAGCTATGAAGCGTGGCCAGGCCTCCCACGCACCCCTAAACATGCCACTGGACAGAAGAAGCGCATTTAAAATTTCAGAATTAAAGATATTGATGAAGAAGAGAATTATTTTACAGGGTAGCTATGAATTTGGTCCTTTTGAAATGCACTGGCAAATGCAATGGGATGTTGGCAGTAAGAACATAAAACTAAAGGAATTTGAAATTAAGTAAATCATTAATTTTTTAAAATTCCAAGACAATGAAAGAGTTCAGATTAAGCCAAAAGTACAATCAAATATCTTAATTATATTAAATATTTTAGCGATTGTTTAACAAAGATGAGAGATCTACAGATTTGGACTTCGCTCAATGCAATACGTGCAAGAAAATGAATTTCCAAACCAGCTGACACAATATCATATTCAGCAGTGACAGATTAAATTTTTTTAAACTGGGGTGCTTTTTTTTAAAAAGTTCTTTTAATGACATAGTTTTGTTTAACGTTATACGAAGGCCTTTTGTTTAATTTATATTTAACGTTTATTTACAATTTGTGAACACTAGAATATTTAACAGCCTTCTCCTTGAATTACAACAGGAAATGGTAAATAATAGGCCTACATTCAGACACATGTACATGTGATAGAATGCATTAATAAGTATTATTATTTTGATGATTCATTCAGATACAACAGCATCCTGGGGTTTGGAGACTACTTACTTTTTGGCTGTCACTTCTTGAACTGTGATGGCTCTCTTGTCTTTGCTGCCAGCAAAAGCGAACAGATTTGTATTCATCCTAAAAGGAAATGGTCCCATCATATACATTAAAAATCAATCCGTCATTCACTCTCTTGAAAATGATAATATAAACATGGATGGCCTCTTTATATTTGATACATACAGATAATGAATAAAGGGTTTTGATCCTACTAATATATTTTGTAGACTTATTTAGATGCTCTGAAAAGTGGTGTAGACATGGGTAGTGCAGCCAGCACAAAGCACTTAGGCCTATGGCCATTAGGGACCCCATTCATAAATAAGCTGCTTAAAAAAACAATAAAAATAATTACCAACTTAATATTTTTAAAGAACAATAAACATCCACCGACCCCTCAATAATTTAGAGGGTAATAATCCATTACCTTTTTTATTTCAATTGTTTTCAACTTTTGCCACAAATTTTCGTGATTTTTGTTTGGATAGCTCGTAAAAATTTAAATGTTGGAGCTTTACCTTCCCCTCCAGGGCCCTGGACCAAACAGATAGAAATCGGCGGTTCCCAGGCCGCCATCCATAACTGAGACCTGTGGCCTTGTTCTCTTCACATCAAAGGGTCATTCACATTAATCTTACACTGGGGCCTTTCTGACCTAGCTATGGTGCTGGCTCTGAACTTACTTCAATGGTAATGGACTTACTGTAAGTACTTGCAAATGATGTTGATAGCATCATTGATGTCTTTATTTTCTTTGTAGAGGGCAAACTTGCAATATTCTGGCCGATTTTTTGGCCAACCAGATTTCTTTCTTTTTCTACCTGGCAAAATCAAAGAAACAATACTTCTTATTACAAAAAAAAAATAAAGTTAAAATAAACTTTTTGGAAATAAAATTTCATGGCATTAAGATGATTAATCATGAACATTTGATAACTTATACTCTATGTAATTCAATCCAACATTTTCTACAATTAAAAAGTGTATATATTTGTTCTGTCATCAATACATTGCAATAATTACAGTAGAAATACAAGATGAATTTATAAGGAAAAAGCAGTAGGATTTTGTAGAGGGGATAGAAGCACTAAATGGAATAGATAGCCACACTACCTTCTTGTGTTGCAAATGTAACAGTGATCATCTTCTGTCCATCAACAACAGTTGTACTGCTCTCCAGCTTCGATGAAAACTTTCTCACTTCCTGGTGCATCCTGGTCCTTGTCTCCTTATCATCTGTTGACACCTATATACATGCCGAAAGGGAAACTTCATAAGATACTGTAATAGAATAGAAGCCCTTGGTTCTTTTTTTAAGAACCATTGGTTTCTTTTTGAGATAGATTTCTTTTCTAAATGGGCTTCTTTTTGAAAATAAATAGTGGAAGCTTCTTTTCAAAATAAATGCTGTAAATTTTGGAATTGCTACTACACATTTTTTAACTATGGAATTTGAAAATCTATTGACTATATCTTAAAACTTTAACCATGATAGTACAATAAAATAATATTGATTTGATACTGACATGTTATTCCAATAATCAAAAATAATGTCAGTCTGAATGTAAGTACTATCTCATGAGAAGCCCATATTACCGTACTCTCACGAATAAGTGCCCGGGCACTTAAAATATTTTGTGCCCTTTTTGAGGGGCGCTTATTCAAACGGGGCACTTATTAAAACAGAGTGGAAATTGAGGGGGCGCTTATGGAAATGTATGAAAATTGATGGGTTCTTCTGGGCATCAATGGGCGATTTTTGAATGAAAAAAATTATATAATCCGAATATCCCGACATCCGAAAACTGAAGATTACGAATAGTTCTGGTGCAGAAAAGATAATCGTCCAGAGAGCATGGCTCGTGACAAGAATTCTGTGAGTTTCAACAGCAAATGAAATTAGTGGTGGTGGTGGCAATGGTGGTGGTGGTGTATAAGCTTGTTGGCCTTCTGTCGATTGCGATTAGCAGGATTATTGCAGGGCTTTTACAATCTCACATGAAAACGAGCTAAAGGTGCAAATTGTTGGGAAAAGAAAAAGAGAAGTAGGTAAATGCAAGAAGAAAGTTGGAAAGATATTGTCCAGGGAGCTCTCATCTGTCCAGGACAAATTATCCTCATTTTAAAATTGACATAAGAAGAAAATATGAATCCACTCCGCAGCTCAAATCATGCCAACCACAGTCAAGTCCATGGAGCTTCTATTCGCGGTTTTACAGTATTGGCCTCTCTTTCAACTTATGATTATGGTTTTATGAGTTAGGTTTCTCCTTTTCCTTTTGAAAAGCACAATGTAAAGAGCGAGTTTTTACATCCTGACATGAACGAGTGAAGACATCACTAGAGCAGTAATACAGCATTTATTAAGCTTTGTCCCCAATATCAAATCTTATGTCACAAACATGTGTGATTTGTCCATATTTGGCCATTGTGATATATAACCTTTATATAATATGGACACATTGCAGGTATTTTTGTTACTTAAAACTTGATGTACTGTACACAATTAGTTTACAAAGCCAAATAATTATTAAAATACAGATCACACCATATGCACTACTATCATAAAAACATACTGTGCCATCAGTATTTGACTTATGAAGACCATATTATCGATATCACCAACTCAACAAAAGAGCATAATAATATGTTGTTCTTATATAGTGCTTCATGCATAAAGCCTCTAAGCGCTTCACATCACTACCCCGGTCATTTGATCAAACACGTATGGAACACATACTTAGCTCCCTGGGGAGAATTCCATAATATTGCAGCTAGTAATCAGCGCAGTTGTGTTCGAACCTACCAGGTACCCACTTACTCCTGGGTGGAAAGGACACAAACGGTTTGCACAGCAAGAGTTTCGAACCCCCGACCACTTGGAAATGCATAGGCACCTTCAGACAACACAGAATGCAATTCAAACTACAACCAATAGCACAATATAGTCAAAAAAACATAGTGCAGATAAATATCTCATAAGCACTATACATATTTATTTAACTTTTATTTCCCAAGGAATACACACATTACATCATACACATATCAATAAGACTTCCCGTAGTTCCACATGCACATGCAGATGTCAAAGGTCAAGGCCTTGGAACAATTTATCCTATCACATTGCACATATTCGCAAACATAATATGTTAAACACATTCATTTGATAGGGTCTGTGATTTGATACATTCTCTGTGATAGGCTAGACTAAATGTTTATGCTATGACCTTTGACATAGAAAAAAATCAGATGAAATTATAAGAGACCTTATTCACTGAACTTTTATTTCCCAAGGAATACACACATTACATTATACTGCACACATATCAATAAGATCTCCTGTAGTTCCACATGCACATGTCAAAGTTCAAGGCATTGGAACAATTTATCCTATCACATTGCAAATTTTTGCAAACATAAGTTAAGCACTATCATTAAATAAGGTGTGTGATTTGATACATGTTCTGTGATAGGCTAGACTAAATGTTTATGCTATGACCTTTGACATAGAAAAAATCAGATGAAACTATAAGACACCTTATTTAATTTATCTTATATGTCCATCATAAATTAACATAGCCTTTAATAATACATTATACACACTTTTTTTAACTTAAAATAAATAATGAAATGAAGTGACATTTAAAGAGCATTATGGAAAGGATTCAGTTATAATGTTATGCATTTTGTCAACGGCGGAGAAAAAAACATTAATTATTAATGAACATGATTATTTAATCATACACACTATGTGTAAAATATTATCTAAAATGTAATAAATTACTTTTTTTAACTAATTTAATTTACTTTTAAATCATTTGGTATAAATATGGTATAAAACAACCTCACATCAATCGAATTAGGCTAGTCTGAAAGTTCACAAGAACAGTAATTAAATAATTTAGAGACAATAATTAAAGGGAATATAAGAAGATTAAAAATAAATATACAAAAAATAGTACTGCATGGACAGGGAAGGAAAGGAAGAGTGCAACACACAAGTTGAGAAATTATTAAAAATGGATCATTTGCCCCTACGAGCAAAAGTGAAAATAATCTATTTGTATATTTAATTAATTTGTTTTCCTACACATCCAACAGCATGTACACTTGCCACTTACAGGATGGAGCGATTCTTTATAAACAAAGTCTCATATTGAGGTGAGGCCCAGGAAGTGGAGTTGATTTTGGTTGTGAGAAAAAGTCCTGCTGTGACAGGAATTGAACCCAGGACCCTGGGATTAAAAGGCAAGCATCTTAACCACTAAGCTGAACAACTCCAAAATATATACAAATATTTACTAATAATCAGCAAATATAATTTTCCATTTTTACAGCACATAAGAATATTCTACTGTATTATACTGTACAACCTACCACAAAACAGTAAAAACATTTAAAAACTGCAATGCTACAGTAAGCTATTTACATTCCAATTTTATCAAACATCAGGGGTGGCGAACCAGTGGGAGCCGGGAGGCAAGGGCCTCTGTCGGGAAGAAAAACCACAATTCGTTGGAGAGAAAAAAAATTATATGTATTTCTACGTATTTAGTACACTATCTATAATATCGATTAAACAAGCCTTTGAAACCCCTAAATTGTCATATTAGGACCACTTTCACTACATTTTGAGCGATGCCTGATCACGTCCACTTTGCACTCAGTGGGGACATCAGCACACACTCCTCCCCCTTTCCCATCGGTCAAATCCATGTGCCACCCCTGTCACACATAATTCGATTTTTTTAATTTTTTAATTTTATACCAAATAGCAATTACACTAGCTAAATACAAGAACAATGTCACAGGATCTGAATCCAAACCCATGGGACTGGAAGGCAGGCATCCTTACCACCAAGCTATAAGAACCACACAGAAAGATAAACCCAACCAAATATTTATAAACAACATCATACAATGTTCACCAGACCCTCATGTAAATTACTATAAAACAGGGGAAACTAAAAAGTACAGGTAACTTTAAATAATTACATAATTTGGATGCCTTAAAAAATATGAGTTGCTAAATGCATAGATAAATAATCTAAACATTTTGAAAAATGGATCATGTTTTAATAACTTATATAATGTCATGTTATTTTGAATATATTTTAAAATAGATGGTTCTCCTGAGAATGATGATCACGATAATTCACTTGAAGATGAATAATTAGAGCAACCTATTTTAATCAGCAAGACATTTTCAACAATGCAATATGGACTTTCTACATGATGTATCACATAATTATCCATTATTTTTAGTTGCCCTGCAAACTTTAAAACAACTAAACATTTTGAAATACTATAGTCATGATGTAAGCCTATATAGTTAGAAGTAATCCATAACCATTCAATATATTAAGATTTTAAAAATTAATGACATTAAAATACTACATTTTTTTATACAATTTCTTGCTTGTTGCTTTATTTTAGCATCTGGCTATTTGCAGTTTACAAGGTTTGAAAAAGCCATTTTTCAATCTTAAATAAATTTAATACATAAACCTTGAATCTTAGCCCAGTGGTTACAATTTAACCAGCCAAAATGCATTGGGTGAGTACAATGGGTAGGTTAGCCACCCTAAAATTAGGCCTCAGCCTATGATTAAAGAACACAAACACATTATTTTCTTTGTCACCATGCTTAAGCATGACATAATACCTTTTTTTTTACCTACAGTAGTGTCAAATTTAAACAGATCAACATGGATTGTTAATTGCACCATCCATCATATTCAACCCAATTTTTATCGTACAAATATATGTTTATTATTTATTTTTTAATAAACCTTATGTCACATTTTGAATAATCATAGTGAGATTGCTGTTAAAAAGATAATTTAATAAAATTATTAAATATAAGCATGGGATGTACATTATGATTAAATAATAATTATATTTGCATAACATATTCCTCTTTATGGAAAAAACACATGTAACAGTTATCCATAAACGCATAAACTGTTATTATAATAATAAATACAATTTTAAAAATTGCGGTACCATGTCTTTTTACTTATTCCACTGGAGTGGATGAAAAAAAAATTTATCTCCAACACACACACAAGAATAACACATAAATAATTAATTAAATAAAATAAAACATTATATTGCATATTCACAGCAAGATCATGGCAAATATATTAAGTAGTTTAAATATGTTTAAAGAATATATTAATCATCTGTATATATAACAATCCAACTCAAATATTCAAAGATGGATAATAACCTCTGGTTTAAATGGGGAACTCAATGATGCATCCCAGAGTTGAGAAGAAAAAATCTTGCAATGGATTCCGGAGTTCATTTGAGTAATTCTAAAGATCACAGAGTTCACTTTAGAAGAAGTCTTGCAATGTGCTTCACAGTTCATTTGAGGAACCACGGTTGCATTAAAGAGTTCACTTAAGAAACACTAGTGACTCCTATTAAATATGCTTCCCACAATAAACTCTGGCCATCCATTCCAGAGTTTATCTGAGGAACTTTGGCAGTGCAGCTTATAGACAATTCAATATCTCTGTGGTGTGTCTTTATATTCCACTAGGGTTGTTGATCTTGAGCTCTGACATCCTTTACACTTCATAATTCCTAGTCTTGGTCACACGAGCAACAACCACTCCATCATCAAGCAACTCTGTTGTGGTCGTTTCACTAACTATTCGTCTGGCTGGTCTCCTGGGTACTGGTTGAACTTCGCTCTTTGGTGGCATTTCTGTCTGCACAGCAGTCGTTGTCAGAGATTTTGTCTGTGGTGTTTCATTTGATCTTTGAACAGCATGTACCACAGTATGGCTTGGGGCTGGGCGTTGTAAGATTGGTTGTGATTGTGAGACTGATGATTGATTTAGCCTCCTGTGTTGTGTGCCACCTGATCCCTGTGAAGTTGTTGGACGTGGCAGGGTGATGGTGTTCACACTCGGAGGGATAAGCAAGTGCCCTTGATTGCTCGTTGGTGAACGCTGCTGCAGAACTGTACCGGGAGTACTGTTTATAGTCAAAGGATTGTTTACATTAACATGCGGTAAACGTAACGGGGTCGGTCCATTTATATTCATATGGTGATGATGGTGCATGGTATTCACCCTTCCAGTAGCAGAGCTAGCCGGTTGGGCAAGAGGACGTAGATTTGTACTATGTGCTTGTTGTTGCACTGGTGGAAATTGACGTTCATTGGTTGGCGGCAGAGGTAACTGTGAATTACCTATTAGCCGAGGGTTCTGCAAAGCAGGTGGATTGGTCTTCGCCAATGTACTACTAGATGTTGGTGAGATATTATTATTTTCAGTAGCCGTGTGTTTATCTTGAAGATGTCTCTTTAGATCATATTTCCTACTGAATGCACGGTCGCAAAATAGACAAACCAGACGGACCCGTCCTTCATGCTGTTCAGCCATGTGTCGTCTAAGTGCTGATTTACTTGTGAAGCGAGCCTGACAGCGAGCACACACCCTACGACGGATGTTCCGTACCATAGGAGTGAAAGGTGTCTGAAAAAATAGAAAGACCATAATGCTAGCATTTTTTAAACACCTGATGATCAGATCTTGATCTTGATATCTGCATCCACTCCCATATATATCTTGCTCTTCAGAAACTCTTCTTATCTTCTTTGTCATTCAAACAATCTGTATTAATTGTTGTTTCTTGTTCACTTTCTTCAGCTTTGTTTTAATCTCAATTAATGTGTAACAGTTATTATCAGTAATTGACAAGTGTGTATGTAAAACCCAGAGTGCTTTCATAAGACTTTATATTAACAACAATACACAAAAATACAAAATTCAAAGAATGAGAACACAAAAATGTTTTACTGCAACCATGGTCAATAATTTAAAATTTGTAAAAATTGTTTTAGTCATATACTTATGAATTCACACCAGCCAGTCTTAAGGGGAAAACCCCAGTGTTCCAATCCAATATGCCAGCCAGTCAAAGGTTAACTACTACTTCCCACTAACACTCTCATTACTCAATACATAGGTACAATATATGCAGCAAAGATACTAGAAATACAAGATAGAGCACTCGCATAGCAAAAATGAAGCGGAAATTGGTCCAGACGTAAGTGGCGCACTTCTCTTTTTATAGTGCAAGTTTTCTATACTTGGTCCACACGTATAGGGCGCCCTTCTGTTGCTAGGTATATCCAGACGCACGCAGGCCTTCTTTTTCTAATAATGGAGGAAAATTTTATCACTAATCAGAGTCCGGTCATACGATTCTGTGCTTTTGTGCGTGTCATTTTATTATTTTGATTTATTTATGCCTACTTGTGTGTATCTTATGGATAATGGCAATGATTTCAACCTCCGCAAATGGAGGTTAAATATTCACAATTATGTAACGGTAGCAGAAGTTTTTTAGATCCAGCCGTACGCGGCGCCCTAATGTTTGTATTCCCACCAAGCATTTCGGTGGAACAGTTTTTTTTTTCTGTGGAGAACATTATCTTGTGTTTCTAGTATCTTTGATATGCAGCTAAACTTAAGGCCCTGTCCAGACTATCAAATTTTATTTGACAAAAACATGTGACATGCCTAAATATGGTCATCATGACATCACATCATTACCATACATAGGCACATCATGACTATATATGGGCATGCGGCAGTTTTTTGGTCAAAGCAAAAGTGATAGTTTGGAGAGAGCTTAAGTCTTCATACATCTGCCACCTTCAAGATCTCACTGACCACAAAACATTTATTGGAAACACCAAAATAATGAGATACCTCACTGCACTATTAAACCGTTTTTAATCATGAAGATGATGAAAATTCAAGGGACAACGAAACTCAAAGAAATTATAGGGAGAGAATGCTATGTGATGTCATTATGTCCTATATCTTATCATCATCAGCCAATAAAAAGCTCCTATTTAGAGCAAGACACAAATTAAAAGCAATCATTCGTGTTTTGACTCTAAGTCTAAGACAAAACTATACTGGCTCATAAAATCACACATAGTCTGAATACAAAACAGTTATCTAATTTTTAAAAGGTATAATTATTGATATTCATAATAAATAATAATAATATTTTACCTCAATTAACAATATCAATTAATATTATTTTTATTACCATAAATAATGGTCTTGTTTGTTTTTTTATGTAATGTGTTATGGATTTCTTTAATTTTGCCATGTACAGTTTTTAATTTTTTAACTTTCAATAATTGTAATACATTCACATACAGCCTTTTGGCTGTCTGTTTATAATTTTTATATTTTTTCTATGAATATGAATAATGACCTTGAATATAATAAAAATTACAATAATAATAATCAATGTACATTAGTAAAGAAGGCACAAA